TCATCGTTATATTATTTTTGTTATTATTGTCATCGTCATCATCACCCTCAATAATTTCTTCGTCTGCGTCTGCGCTCATTAAGTCCATCCCCGTCATGACGTCATGAACACAATCGTCATCATCGTCGTCATCATCACCATTTTGTTTCTTATTATTATTACTATTATTATCGTTTTTATTGTTATTTTTGTTGTTTGTATCATCACTGTTATTATTATCGTTGTTGTTGTTGTTGTTGTTGTGGTTGTTGTGGTTGTTGTGGTTGTTGTGGTTGTTGTGGTTGTTGTGGTTAGTATCATTATTATAAATATCAATGATAAGAGTGTCTGCGCCGAGCTTCGCGTCATCATCTTCACGTTCTTCTTCATCATCTTCATCGGTGACGTCATCGTCACCGTCGTATTCATCATCATTATCATCAGCATCAACTTTGTAGTCGTCTTTGTCGTTGTGGTTGTTGTTGTTGTCGTCCTTGTCGCTCTCAAAATCCCCATCATCGTATTCATCACCGATGATATTATTATCATTTTCGTTGATACCATCCAAGCCTTTGATATCATGATTATCATACTGTTTGATGCCATCATCACTATCTGTATCATCATCTGTATCATCATCATCATCATCACTATTGTTACTATCATTATCATAATCTACAACGTCATCGTCGTCTTCGTCATTTTGTATTTTTGAGCTTTTTAATTCAGTGATTTGAGAAACATTGTTATTCGCCGAAAGACATTTCGCTGGTTGTGTTTGCTGTTGTTGTTGTTGTAGTTGTTGATGATCTTGATAATGATGTTGTAGTTGTTGCAGATAATTTTGTTGTTGTTGTTGTTGTTGATGTAGTTGTTGATGTAGTTGTTGTTGAAGTGGTTTTCCAACTGCTACATCCGTATTTTCCAAGTCATTTGAATCCATGTCTAAATTGATTGATGGATCGTTATATGAATTAATTGATTGGATAAATGAACGAATGAATGAATGAAATGAATGAATGAATGAATGAATGAACGAAATAATAAAAGAATGAAAGAATGAATTAACAAACAGACAAATAAACGATATATACAAATGATATACACATGATATACATATGATATACATATGATATACATGATATATATATATATCTCACAATCATCATCGCCGTGGCTATAGGTATCATTAAAAACACGAAACAATACATCGTCATCTAATGTTGAGAGCATACTAAGGATATTATTATTATTATTATTATTTTTTATTATTATTAATTATTATTATAAATTAAAAAGTTGAAGAATTAATTTTCATAATTTGATTTTTATTATCCTTCTCGGTATTACCATTTTTAAATATTTTTATTTGTTTGTTTACTGTTTACATTTTTTTGTTGTAATGACGTCATCATAATTTCGGTCTACTATTGTTTATATGATCTTTGTTTTGTTTCAAAATGGATGAGTAGAAATAATGGATTTCATCCTAATTTAAAAAATACGCAAACTAAGGTACATTCCTGGGAACCATATAAACAAACAAACAAACATACAAACAAACATACATACATACATACATACATACATACATACATACATACATACATACATACATACATACATACATACATACATACATTCATACATACATACATTATTACTTCCCTATAGTTCTAATCAATTATGGGTTCATACATACATACATACATACAGACAGACACATACATACGGACATACATGCATACATACGCACATAATCATACACGATGTTTTTCAAATGAAAATACCACGATACTACGCAATAAAAATAATCAATCATAATATAAATAATAAATAATTATGATAAAAAAAAATATTTTCCTAACTCACCTTCAGCATATCGAACCGATCCACCAACACATAAATGGCGATCATCATCACCATCGTTATCATAACTACCAACATCATTATCATCCCTAGCAACATCATTATCATTACTACCAACACCATCATCGTCGTCGTCGTCGTCCTCATCATCGTCGTCGTCGCGTTTGCTAGTTGACCAAGCACGGCTTGTGGTATTCCGAACGTGATGATAGCACGGAGTGGACAGATCCATTATACTTGGCCAGATATCTGAATAAATTAATAATTTATACTAATTAGTAGCTTATGGAAAACATCCTCACCAACAGTAAAATCAGAATATCAGAATATCAATACAGTTAAAACTGTTAGGATACTACATTATTCCTGTGCTAACTTACGGCTCTGAGTCCGGGACAATTTCTAAAGAAAGGGAAAGAAAGTGGAGGTCGATGGGCGCCAATATCCTGAAAGGATAAAGCACGAGAAAGAAAGAAGAAGTGACCTATAATTTATGTTAATTAACTAGCTAGCTCGCTAACTCTTTATGCTAACAAAGTGGCTATGAATATCTAAATTAATTTCATCCTATTAACAAAGTGGCCATGAATATTTAAATTAATTTCATCCTATTAACAAAGTGGCCATGAATATTTAAATTAATTTCATCCTATTAACAAAGTGGCCATGAATATTTAAATTAATTTCATCCTATTAACAAAGTGGCCATGAATATTTAAATTAATTTCATCCTATTAACAAAGTGGCCATGAATATTTAAATTAATTTCATCCTATTAACAAAGTGGCCATGAATATTTAAATTAATTTCATCCTATTAACAAAGTGGCCATGAATATTTAAATTAATTTCATCCTATTAACAAAGTGGCTATGAATATTTAAATTAATTTCATCCTATTAAAATAAGATGAATTTAAAACAGAGTAGGATAGTACCGACAGCATTTAACATTCAAAATTATCACAATGAAGATAATATTGCCGACCGAAGCTTACTGAATAATTTGACGTATCAAAGAATAAAAACTGCTTGTAACCTGTTGCGATACTCAATCACTCCTTCAAAAAAATGATGAAAGATTATTCCGAATATAATATTTTTATTATGAATATAATATTTTTTATTATGAATATAATATTTTTTATTATGAATATAATATTTTTAATGTGAATATAATATTTTTACATCGCCAAAAAATAATTTTCGGGTGAGGTGGGCGAAATATCCGTCATTGGATCGATCAATAAATAAGAACTGTTTATATATTTTTTATTATGAATATATATATATATATATATATATATTCATATATATATATATATATATGTGTGTGTGTGTGTGTGTGTGTGTGTGTGTGCGTGTGCGTGTGTTACACACTCTTTCTCTTCCTTTATTTTTATATCTATAGTTTATTTTCCCAACAATCACCTCGTTTTTTTTTCTTTTTTTTTTCTTTCTATTCCTCTCTGTCTCTCTCTCTCTCTCTGTTTCTGTTTTTCTTTCTTTTTCTCTCTTTTTTGATATATATATATATATATATTGTATATATATATATAAATGCAATTCTAAATTCTTGATTCAGCATTGCAGCAATCGCATGCTAGTGTATGTGTGTATGTATGTATGTATGCATGTATGTATGTATGTATGTATGTATGTATGTATGTATGTATGTATGTATGTATGTATGTATGTATGTATGTATGTATGTATGTATGTATGTATGTATGTATGTATGTATGTATGTGTGTATGTATGTATGTATGTATGTATGTATGTATGTATGTATGTATGTATGTATGTATGTATGTATGTATGTATAGTTATACATCTTACCTGTAAACATCATTGTGTTTCAGTACACCTGGATTAGATTATTAAAGGTGTGCTCTTCATCTAGTTTGGTTGAGTTGTTGATGTGTCGTTGTTGTTGTTGTCGTTGTTGTTAATGTTGTGTTGTTGTTGTTGATGATGTTAGTGTTGTTGTTACAACATTTAAATGTTGTTGTATTTTTTTTCTGTTCTCAATGCTTTCGTCTCCTTAGGTGGATTTTATTTACACCTTAAACTGAGGCTTCTACGTTAAAAAATATACATGAAAATTACTCTACACACATCTTCACCGTCGTCGTCATCATCATCATCATCATCATCGTTATATGGTTGGTCTATTCATTCAGTTAGTGTTCGCTCTCATATTATTATGAAAAACACCAGCAAAGTTTCAAAGATGGTGATGATGATGGTGATGATGGTGATGATGATGATGGCGATGGTGATGATGAAATGATGATGACGATGATGATGGTGAGTTGTTATTAATTGTGATTTAAGTACGAAACATCGATAGTGTAACAGATGATGACAACGTTTAATGCCTCTAGTTTCATTCGTTCTTTCGTTCGTTCGTTCGTTCGCTCGTTCGTTCTTACGTTCGTTCTTATTATCAATAAATCATTATCTATTTATTTATTTATTCATTCATTCATTCATTCGTTTATTGGTTTACAAATGAATTATTTAAAAACTCACTACAAATCTACGTGTTCTTGTTTACTGTAGTTCGTCGTTCGTTCGTTTGTTCGTTCGTACGTTTGTTCGTTTGTTCATTCTCTTATTCATTCAACCAACCAAAAAACAACAGCAATAATAACAATAATAATAGCAATAATAATAATAATGACAACATCAATAACAATAGCAACGAGAGTAAGAACTTATTTGCAACAGATTCACCTCAGCACAGCTCTGTAGTGAGTTGTATACATACACGTTCGTACAAGCTGTTACACAGTTGAACGTTGCACGAACCACCACCACTAACAACACGTCACCATCCTCAAACTCCTCATCGTCATAATTTTTATTATTATTATTATTATTATTATTATTAGTAATTATTAATATTGACGTCATCTTTATCGGCTGTCTAGGTAGTCGTCATCATCGTCGTCGTCGTCCTCATCGTCATCAGTATCTACACTTTACAATGAAATCAGACCTTCCCTATATATAGGCGTGTTAAAAATCCAGAAATCTATACTTCAAATCTTGTGTTAGATTTTTAGACGAATAATTTCTAAGGGCTTCTTAGCACACATTTGCAATTAATTATTGTTTATAATAAAACTATTTCTATTATAATAATATTGTTCGTTCGTCTGTCTGTTTGCGCTTGTTCGTTCGTTCGTTTGTTTGCTCATCAATATCCGTTGTTTGAAAACTGTTTCTTATAGGTATGTTTGCACTTTTAGCTAACGCATAAATACACACACACACACACACACACACACAGTTTATTAACTTATCTATAATATGATTAGTATTCAAACTAATTTTACAAGCTTATATTTGAACAAAGAAAAAACTAACAATAGCACAAACACAGACAAACAAACACACCGACAGACAGACATTTGAAAAAAAGATGTCCGCTTACTCAACAACTCACTCTCTCTCTTTCCTCGCCATCCTCTTTTTCATCCTCACCATCTCCCATGCCGAAGAGGACAAAATAGTAGAGCAATCCAAAAAGCCGAAAGAAGATATTCAGCCCCCTTCGTATACTGTGACCGACGAGGCCTGGTTCGAGGTTGAGATCAAAGACTACGATGGTCCAGGGCTTCATTACAAGGGCAGGTTCGAGATTGCCCTCTTTGGCGACGACGCCCCAATGACCGTCATGAATTTCGTCAATATTGTCAGGGGGTACAAACGCGGCAAGGTTCGTTTGTGGGTTTTTATTTTGTTGTTGTTAGTCTTGCTAAGAAATCAATCAATCAGTCAATCAATCAATCAATATATCTATCTATCTATCAATTAATCACAACCAGCTAATCAGCCACCAATCAATCCTTCAACCAGTCAACTAACAAACAAACAAACCAATCAATCAACCAGCAAACCAATCAATCAAACCAATCAAACGACCAATCAATCGTCTCTGCAGTCCCTGCTACACTACAAGAAAACTCCGATCCACAGAGTCGTGAAGGATTTCGTCATCCAAATGGGTGACGTCACTACCGGGGACGGAACCGGAGGTCGGTCGATGATGACGTCATTAATAATAATAATAATAATAAAAATAATAATAATAATAATTTAAAAACTCTTTGATAACCCCAAAGGGGCAAGCATATACGGCGAGAAATTTAATGACGAAAACTTTGTGGTGAGCCACAGGGCTCCTGGCATGGTATCGATGGCCAATAAGGGCAAGGACACAAATGGGTCGCAGTTTTTCATCACCATGGTCAAGGCCAGATGGATGGACGGCAAGCATGTTGTCTTTGGAAAAGTTATCAAGGGATTCGTGAGTAGAGATGTGTTTTTGTTTGTTTTGTGTTTTTATTTTGTGTTTTTGTTTTATTCTCGTGTTTTTGGCGTTTTATTAGTACCAACAACAACATCATTATTCTCTTCGTCTTCATCTTTTTCACCTCTTCATCCTCATCAAAAAATAAACAACATTGACAACAGCAAGAGGAAGAATGTCTTTATTATTCTTCAACACATACAAGCAACACAATCACTTTCATTACGAACAACAACAACAACTAAATCATCATTTTCCACAACAACATCATCACCAGACACCACCAAAACAACAACAACAACATCAACAACAACATTAACAACACGACATCAATAACATCAATAACAACAACAACAAAAGGACACCGTTAGGAAAATAAACGAAGTTGAGACCCTAGAAGACAGCAGCTGGCCACTGAAAAAAATAAAAATCGTCGATTGTGGCCTGAATCCTATCAAATCCAAGTATATATTATATTATAATTATTATAATTTTATAATTATTATCATAATTATAAATATCATTATATTATTATTAGTAGTAGTAATAGTAGTAATAGTTGTAGTAGTAGTAGTAGTAGTCTTAGAAGCAGCGGTAGCAGCATTAGTAGTAGCAGCAGCTTTAGTATTATATATTTATTATTGTACATACATTTACAGCGGCATATAAACGAAAAATTATTATTATTACCATTACTATTATTTATTATACATAATTATTATTATTATCATAATTTCATAATTCATAATTTTTCATAATTAAAATAATTATAGGTACATAATGACGGAAGAGCAAGTTGACTCGACGGAAGACCTGGACGTCTAGATGCGAAATTCATGAATATTTCTAATTATAAAATTGACTCTAATTTATGATTAACTAATGAATATTAAAGTTACTATGATTTATAATGTGTGTGTATGTGTGTGTGTGTCTGTGTGTTAAGTGTGTGTGTGTCTGTGTGTTAAGTGTGCGTTTGTGTGTCAGTGTGTCTGTGTGTTAAATGTTGTGTGTGTGTGTGTGTGTGTGTCTGTGTGTTAAGTGTGTGTTTGTGTATGTGTGTGTATGTGTGTTAAGTGTGTGTCTGTATGTGTGTGTCTGTGTGTTAAGTGTGTGTTTGTGTGTCTGTGTGTGTCTGTGTGTTAAGTGTGTGTTAATAGGCTTTTAAATTTAGGCTCAGCGCACGTGAGTGTGAATTAATACCAGTTATCATTGTTCATCCGTTATAATTATTATTAATTATTATTAATTATTATTAATTGTTATTATAATTATATTTATTTATTATCGTTGTTTTGGTTAAATAAAATGATAAACCTATATTTATGAACGTTACTTCTGTACACGAACGAACGAGTAGATTTGAGATAATATACGTATATATATATATATATATATATATATATATATATATATATATATACATAGAGTAGCAGTATATAATATATTTAATTATTTTTTTATTATTGTGTAATTGTTTTGTTTAAAATTAGCCAACCCCGGCTAGCCATTGAGAAATCGAGGTAGCGCTCAGCTCACGACCTATCAACCAAATCGAACCATCCAATCACCACTAACTAATTACAATTAACTAATTACTGGCATCAAACACTGGAAACGAACTAGCCAATCAGAAGCAACCATGTTGGTGAGCGATAAAAGTTAACGCAAAGCGAAAAAAAGATCATAAATAAACTATTAGCGTCCACAAATTTTACACAAAAAACCACAGAAAATAATTTGTAATGTGATCGTGCATTGGTGACCATTGTGCAAACGTGTTGTGTGTATATATGTTTGTTTGTATGTATGTATGTAAGTATACTTGTTTGTATGTATGTATGTATGCATGTATGTATATATACTTGTTTGTTTGTATGTATGTATGTAGGAATGATGTATGTATTATTGGAGAATTTATATTCTAGTACCTTTTAAAACTTCTTAGAGGAGCTGCTTAGGTCATGTGGTTTAATTCATTAAAAGATGAGATTCTAGTTTTATACGGATTTGTTGAAGAGTTGATCCAGGCTGACGGAGGTGGCGTGATGAATCATTCCAGACTGTTGGACCAGCGATGGAAATATTCCTCTTTCCTACAAGCACTTGTGTTCTTGGTACCGACAGAAGACCCTGACAATCTGAACGCGACTGAGACGTTAAGCAGGTGCGAACCCATGCAAACACTCGTCAGTCAGACTGGTAACTCGGACTGAGACTATTCAAATATTTGAATACCATGATGGCAAATTTGAATTCGATTCTTCGCCTAACAGTCAGCCAATACAGATTTAATAGACTATGACTCACATTGTTCAAACTTTAATCCACCAGTAGCTATTTTAGCTGCTCGATTTTGAATTGACTGTAGTTGGCATATGATTTTGTTGGAAGTTCCATGGATAACACTATTACAGTAGTCTAGCTTAGAACGAATAAACGCATTTAACCAGATCAAGCGAACTTCCGATCTGTCTGAGCTTTCGTAGTTAAAATGAACATTCCTTGTTCAATATTTTGACATGATGATCCATAGACATATTTTGATCGAACAAATATATGTATGTTTGTTTGTATGTATGTTTGTATGTTTGCATGTATGTATTTGTGCGCATATGTATGTATGTATGTATGTATGTATGTATGTATGTGCGCTTATGTAGAATAAAATAAAATAAAATTATTTATGTAGATATATATATTATGTAAAACCAATCGACATTTACAATATTTAATAAGAAAATTAATAACAAATTAACATTTTATATATATATATACATATATATATATATATATATATATATATATATATATTATAAATATATGTGTATGTGTGTGTGGGTGTCATCATTAATATAAAAATACTCCATATAACATTTTTGCACACAGGTTATAATGTTTACAAGTTAAAATAATACTGTTTATTATTTGCGAATTAAATGCATTTTTGTTTAAAAAAATGATAATATAAATAATAATAACAATAGCGTTATTACTACCCATAATTATTTATCTATATTTATAATTATATTTATAATTATAAATATATTTATTTATTTATTCAGACTTGAAAGTGTGGGGTGAAAATGACGTCACTGGATTGAACTGTTGACAGAGTGACTAAACTCGATGGCTGTACGTATTCAACGTTCTGTATGTATGTTTGTTTGTATGTATGCATGTCTGTATGTTTGTATGTATGTATGTATGTTTGTATGTTTGTATGTTTGTTTGTGCGTTCTTTGTATGCGAGTACGTTCGCTTGTGTATGTAATTATTTTATGTGTACCTATCCAGCCTTCTGTTTGAATATGCATGTATGTGTGTTTGTTTGTGTGTGCTGGCTGCTATGTGTGAACACGTGTGTGTGCGTGAGTGTGTGTGTGTGTGTGAGTGTGTGTGTGTGTGTGTGTCACACGCACGTACCTTCCTCCTAAACTTTCTCGGCTTATGCTTGAACGTGTATTCGAACATGGAAACGAACATGGCGACGATTAGGCCTCCGACGAGAATGTAAAATATGCCCACAACGTTACTCAAGGTCAGTGAACTTTGACCCGTTGAACCTCCTTTCTTCTAATTATTAAAATATGGTGGGGTTGAAGTTTTAATGTTTTTTTTATTTATCTAGCGCTTTGTTTTTATCTGGCTTTTGAATTCGCTTTTTAAAAATTGCTGTTATATTGCCATACTTATAATTGTAGACATCAAAATCATCATTATCGTCAACATCATCCTCATCATCAGCTGCAATAGCAGTAGTAACATCAGTAGCAACAACGTCAGTAGCTGTAGAAGTAGCAGCAGTGGCAACATCCTTGCCATTATTATCATTATCACCAAAATGGTGAACATCATCGTAACAATTACTACTGACCTTTGATTCATCGGCGGAACATTCCCCTTTGTCGTACCACCATCGCTTGTGCATCTTCTG